GAGTATAATATTCTTGACGTACAGTTAAATTAATAATAGTTAAATAGTTAAATTAATAATTCATTTTGTCAAAGTTATAATGAAAAATTATTCGAAGCATAAGACAAGATCCTCTATTGCAATAACTCGATAAACAGTGTGTAACAGTGTGTTCGACTGAATTTATGCATTGGGCCACGATTAGAACAATGTCAAACACGATGTGTTTTTTTTTCTCACACATTTTAACCGATTCCCAAAAAATAATACCCGCAACATGAATGTCGCGTACCAACAATACCTTTAGCGTTATGGTTTAGAACCCTTACCGATATTCTTAGTTGCTTCGAATAAGCGTAAATATTTATATCGAGCTCTACTGGCTATTTGCCAAGATTTCATATGTGCTATTGATCGTACGCACGGACTTCGTAGTGAGAATACATTGTGTGTGTGTGTGTGTGTGTGTGTGGGGGGAGTAGAAACAATTAAATTCTTTGACCGGCAAACGAGATTGTACAAGCGGTTTCAACCTTTACCACAGTAGCCGGACACGATACGCATACGAGTATACCATAACCTATCCGCGCTCGAGTATGTAAAAACGCGTAATTACGTATTCTACGCGTATGTACTTACATCTAACATGTATGTGTACTTAGCGACGGCAGGTTTGAAATCTCTAATTCTTACGAATTGTATGCGTTTAACGTGCACACGTAACTGTAACAACGTTAAACTTTTGTGTTGGTACGTTGTTTAGAAAAATATTATGCGTAACAATAGCTGTTTTGTGAAACAGTAGTGGTTTCAATTGTTACTAATAACCAAAACGAGCAAAATTATTAAACAAATTGACGGAGACTTGTGTTACGTAAACCCATTAAATGGTATAGGTATTTTCGTTCCATACATTCTATACTATGATTATGATTATAAGGACCAGGCGCGCGCGAAAATTAGAATTTGGAAGATGCATGATATGTCAAAATACAAGTGTGTGTGTGTGTGTGTGTGAGAATTATAAATTATAATATATTCAATGATACAGGCAAAAACCAACCAATGAAGTCATCGATAAAATAATACTATTCGCAATAAATAAAAATAACGATAATTTATTGTAACTGTGGTACAAAATATAAAAATATATACATAATACAATTTTATGAGCAGATTTAGAGGTCTGGGTAGGTCGATAAAATCCGGTTGATGGTTATCTTAATGTTTCTCAAATTTCAATAGAATCTTTTAAAAAATATATTAAACTATCTATGGAAAATGTTATAAAATCATTAGATATGTTTCAGTTCTAAGAACGGTTAGCATAAAAATCGAATAGTAATAAAAGTTAACACATATTAAACTGTATATTACTCTTTTAGTAATTAAATAATATAATAAAATAAGACAATGACATTGCGCATTTAAGTAACAACTCGAAGAACATTATGAAAAAACAAATTCTAAATATATAGGACTTTCATAACTATACGATAATCAAACCTTGATCTGCATGTGCATATTTGAATATTAGATCAGACTTGACATTATAATTGTGTAGAGAAGTGTGCTCAATATAAATCACAAACGGGATTAAACAGAATATTTTCAAGTACCTACATTAACTTTCTAAACATTATAATAGTTAATTTTCGTTTGGGTAACAGTGTTTTGTGTAATTAAATAAAATGTACATATACAATCATCATTATTTCGAAGCTAGAAGTATTATCAACTAAAATTTAAAAGTTATGTTTCCTACATGCTAAAAATTATGTGTCCTATAGTTCTCGTTATGAAACTATATACATATGCAGATATTTATAAATAAATTTAATAACTCGAGTTATTAAATTAAAAATATATACAAAGATGAAATACATTAGATAGGTACCATTTATCTAATATTGTTGTGTTTTATTATAAATTATAATCATTCGACTTATTATACACCTATCGTTTAACAGCATAACAAAACATAATTGTAATTAGATTATACGAGTACCTATATATTAATTTAATGCTTGATAGTAAATAAATAAATATTTTAAAACCCATTATTTAAAAAAAAAAAACATATATATACATGCTTACTAATACATTTAAATTTGAAATATATTTAATCATTTTAATTTTAACAATGCCCTTATGATAATGTAATTAGGGTGATTAATAGTTTAAATTGTATTGATATATACATACTGTCAGTATATGTATCTAAATTGGATTTTTATGTATAATGTATAGGTCCGAAAAGAGAATTGGCAGTATAAAAAGATAAAGGAAGAATAATTAAAATAATTATAATATACCAACTTAATGTATGGTTTAGAATAAAAAAATAATTAAATAAATGTCATTGGTTCGAATGGTGGATATTTTAATAAATACTGTAGTAAGTACAGTTTACATTCTAATTTTAATTTAAAATATGAAAGTTAACACATGAATTATAGTGTGAAATTCCCAGGAATATCATATTTTTACACATTAAACATGTTGGTGTATTCTATAAAAATGTTTGCAATTTTAAAATAGATGTAATATGTTGTAAATTATTTTTTATATAACATTAAATATATATAGGTATATATAGGTATATAACCTATGTATATACTATATTTTTTAAATATCAAATATAAGTATACAAAATTGTTGGATAGGATACTGTGTAGATTTATACTTATATTTATCTAAAAGATAAAAATATTATGTGTTTGCATCCAAATTCAATATATATATATATATAAATATATACAATCTACTTTAAAAGATAATACTATAAAAAAAAAGTAGATACGCATGGTATATAAGTACTTATATATAAGTATACAGACGACATGTATGTACATTGAAAAAAAATTAATGCATTATGCGTGTGTAATTTAAGAATCTATAATTTTGGAACTACAGACAAAATATAAAATTAACATTAGTTTTGGTGATTATTCGAGCTTTAAATATGCGGCAATATGTGCAAATAGTGTCTTAGTCTAAACTTTACCGTCAATATAATAATATTAAACAATATTGTTTATTCTTTGTGTTTAATTACCAAAGCTATTTATTTAAACAATTAAATTTAAATTACATAATATGTACACAAAGTAATTTAGGTGTAATAATTTTCGTTTTATAGTTGTAAATTTAAGATTTCATAAAACAGTATTTGTAAATTGTTTAGTAAGTTACATTTTAGTAGTATTTTGATTAACTGAATGTATATTTTTTATGCAAGACTTGAAATAAATATTAAAACAGAATACGAATACTAATGTATATACCTATAATATTTACTTATAAAGATGATTGATGTGAATAAATCAATGCATACAAAATCTAAATGCGTTAAACCTAAGTATATATAGATACATTTTGGATATTTATTTTAATTGTTTATTTAAACGTAAGTACATTTACAATCTTTAATATAATTTTACATTTGGTAAGACTAATATAAATTTAGAACATGAAATAACGAGGGGAAGAAGATTCACCATTGTGGATACCCTCAGACTTGAAGAGAAGTTTATTTGGTTAACTAATAAGATGTGATTCAAAGGATCTCAACACCAATGTCTTTTTAATCGGTGTGAATGGTTATCTGGGATGCAACCACTGGCTGAGGTGGATATTAGTAAATTAGTAGAATTAATTGATTTGGTGTGGAATTTTTTATAGTAGTTTTTAATTGTTAAAGAAACTATTTTAATTTTAAGGTCTTTGTGTTGTGAGATATCGGAAACACACCATGCCGAAAGTGTTATTTAATAAAGAAAGATTGACTGAAAGGCCTATATAATACGTATTTGAGAAGATTTGGCACATCCCCATATTCAAATGCCGTAAACCCAGATGGGTTTCAGTATTGATTTATACAATAATAATTTTTTGTTAATTAAAAGCTTGGACCTGATAATATATATTTCGGATCTAAAATATAGTTATGTATATATATTATATAGATAACTACAGTAGTAGGTACGTATATATTGAATGTATAAAATATATAGCACATTACCCTTAATAATTAATTAAAGTAAATTTAAATCGATTAAATTTTTTACCATTCCTGTGTTATAGAAACCTGTTACCTAAGCATAAATAATATAAATTACATATATGTATATAAAAACAATAGCATTATATCACGTTAAATGTCATGTAGTGATTATATTTCAATTTTGAAGTATTTTTACGTATATATTATTGTATTATTTTATATATGGTAGTATTTAGATTTTATGACTTATTTTATATGTGTATGACTATATATTATATTCTTATATTTATATACCATAATGATAAAATATAAATGTATTGATTTTTAACAACGCATTTTTATTAAAGTATTAATGCATCATATACTTGGTGTACAATACTTATAAAAAAAAATTATAATTTTAAAAATAATTTGAAAATCTGTTCTCTTAAACAAATAATTTATAAGCGCAAAAGCTGTCCACGAACACGATTTTATTAAATTATAAGACTTATTTTTATCTCATTTTAATTACAATAATGTGTACACATATACCTACAGATTTTTAAATTTCAAAAACTATTTGTTACAACACATGAATATCTTTCACACGCATTGTTATAATAGATTCACATGGTTTAAAATATTATAAGTCTATATACAAACATCAATCTCCTAACATTCGGTTTCTTTACAATATACAATTATTAACTATATTGTGTGCACCATAAGCGAACTCCTATACGTTTGTGTCAAACGGTAAACACTTGCATCAATACTACTCATTATAAAATAGGTAGTTGAACATGTATAAATCATGATATATTTTTGACATTACCTATATATTTGCATAATTCGAATTAAGTAAACAATAACGGGCTGCATATTAGCTATTGTCACGTGATAACGTGACATTTTTAATTTTTTTTTACTTTTTTAGTTTAAATCATGCGTATTCCTAACGGCGCTATACGCATATACTACGTAATGTTTTAACGATTGAATAAATACAAATGCATGTGGAATAGCGACTTACTTATTGACGGCGGTATGTCGGCGGCCATGTCATACGGCTCGGACTTGATGGGCGATATTCTCAGGGGGCCCCTGTGCAGGGCGGACGGCATCAGGGTGGCCAGCGTGGAACCAGCGGACGGGCTGCAGTACTGGGACCACGCGTGTCCCGGCGCCCACGCGCTGGACGCTGTCGAACTCACGGTGGTGGGTGCTCGTTCGACCATAAAACAATCGCCGCCGTCGGCGACCAACTCGGACCGCGTGCAAACTGTGTATAGGAAAAAATAAAAACGGATTTGCAATTGGCGTTCGACGAAACGTTCCGTAGGTACGCGCGTATATGGTTGCAGGACTCGAATATATATTACACGCACGCACGCACGCAGGCACACGCACGTACGAACACTAATGTCGATCAACACTGTAATTATGCAACACGAGTCTCAATATTATTACTATTATTATTATTATTATTATTGATGTCGTTGTCGTCGCAGCAGCCGCGGCGTTTTCATTAGAGCGACGACGGTCGTACGGACCGCAGCGGGACCATAGCGAACAACGCGATGCGTTTAATAACACACGTCACGCACGCAGTGGGCAGAAGACGTAGCGGTGTGCATTCATAAGTACGATGGTCGATGATGTTCAAGTATACGGCGCACGGCGATTATAAATATTATTCGCGGTACGCGGCGGCGGTTCTCCGGGCCGAGACGAGAACGTGACGTCGTAAACGATTTTCTCGTCACCTCTCGGCGCGGACACGAGAGTAAAAATAATATGTGTAAAAAAAAAAAAAAATAAAAAGAAGACTTGGAAAAATCGTCCTCCTCCGTCTGTGCAGGCGTCGATGACTGCTGATGTGTCGATATCGGGGACGGACGCGCGTCCCGGCGGCACCGCACTACACACTGTACTGCCGGGATGACCGGCACCGCTGGCCGCCTCCGTCTGGCCGTCGCCCGTGGCCGCGCCCACCGACACCGTCCATTGGTGACGCGCGCCGTAAAATGGCCGGCCGGGCCACGGTCGGCGGCGGCGCGCGCGCGCTCGTCTCCGCGTGCAGTTATCGATTCGACCGTCGCCGTCGCTGTGCGTCGGTCGTCCACACAGCGTCGTCGCGCCCGTCGTCAGGTGCGTACGCGCTCGTGTGTGCGTGTGTATAATATTACGCGTGCACTGCGGAGCACACACACGCGCATAACGTGCGTTCGCGTTACTGACAAACGATACCGCGCGACTTTGGTGAAAAATGTTTATAAGAATAAAATATGAAGCGCAAACATAAGACTTTACCGAATACATTCATCGATGTTATATTATTATAATTTATAACGAACGGACACGATATTGTACAAGGAATAACTCAATACTTATCATACACTGCAGTTAGAAATGTATAGGAAAACTAGTATCGATATGTTTGTTAGAGTTAGATATATTTATCTATGGATTTCGATTTATCCGAATATTTTTAGAAAACATATTATTCGTGCGTACCTACGTTGTTATGGACATTTTTTTTTCAGTCTGTTAGCCTTTGAATTATTTTAAAATTCGAATCGTCTGAACGTCAAACTATTGATAATTCGCTGATCTACACATAGAAACGGCATATTATACGCATAAAGCAGTCTTTCGGATAGATTAATTTGAACGAGATGATGACGGCTAATTATTATTCTTAGGAAAACGATTTACAATTAAAAAATTGCGCTGCATATGCATGAAAATATTACGAATTATTAATGATACATACATAGAACGATCAATATATATAACTATGTCTATTGAATCTATATGGTAACTTTTTTCGTTTCGGTAATTATTTTCATGGGATAATTCAATATTATCACTACATATTGAAGCTATTAAGTATAATTATACACGTTGGAAAAGGATAAAATAAAAAATGTATATTTTTGTTCATAGAAAAACAGTATGATACTACGGTGTAGAATATGTACAGTTAATGTATTATCGCATACGCATATATCATAATAAAGTTTAATGTAATTTGGTATAAAGTTTGTATATTTAATCGTTGAGTTGTTAAATAAGTTCTAAATAATAACTTTTTACGATTGTAAATTTCATGAAATATATTTTACATCTTTTATATTAAAAAAAAAAAAGAATTAAAATAAATTTCTCATTTATAAATATAAATACATATTATTTATTACCATTAAAAAATTTAAAGTATATCATACCATAAAATACTTGATATAAAATATCAAAATTATAATTTCTATCCCTGGATTCATCACGAGTATAATACTACCTATATATAAGTATCCGTTTCAATGTGAAAGTAAGTGCATATCTCACCGCATTTCATTCATTTACAGACTATACATTTTATATTATCAACATGAAACAACAAAACTGATGTATAACTATAGTTAATAGTTAAAAATATTTATACATCAATAAATCTTATTTAAATATGATAATAAAAAATATTAATTCATAGTTTTATATATCATTATTCATTTTGACTCTACTATATATTTATATACAGATTCGATATATCGTATATATGTTTAAATGGCACAAGATATATACCTGCTTAAATGTGTATCTATATCAACTATATATAGTACTATTCGTTTATTTAAGTGCTGCAACGCTGTGTGAAAATTACTTTGTGTATAGAACAGAAAAACAAGTGCAGCCTACTCCTTCGAAAAGTGTAATCAAAGAAAGGGATTCTACAGCTAGTCCCTCGAGTGACTTTTCTCTGTTATTACTTTTTTCAACACACACACACACCTGCGCGTGCGTCCTAGTGTGTGAATATATATATATCATAATGGTATAAAACTCTTGGGTCTACGGTGTAGATATATATAATATAGTAATTTTAAAATAATAAACTTCAACGACGGACAGGATCAGTGAAAAAAGACGTGAGGTAAAAGTGAAATAGTGTATGTGTATATATATATATATATATATATATATAGAAATACACGCACTTATACACATATAAAATAAATGTTTTATAAAATGTATGGTCCGTGGTTCGTAAATGTAAGTGAGGAAAAAATGAGTGTCCGTAAAACTTGTAAATACCTAAATACGTGCAATTCGTAGATTTTATATATATATATATATATATATGAACGTTTTACAGACAACATCCCTACACATATATATTTATGGATAAGTATATATATCGTGTGTATATGAGTACTCAATTTGAAATATCAAAATTGTACATTTAAACAGCTGTTATATTGTATTATTTGTACGTATCCAAAATATTAAAACTATACGTTTGCTCTTGAAAAACGTATCTATACATTATCATAATACATTTGCAGTGTTCCGAAACATTTTGGAATGAGGTTAGGTTTACAGCTGAAAATTACACATAAATATGGTGAAAATATTAAAATAATTTAACTCCTGTTTCCTTTGCAATGGTAATCTGTGGTAGTTTGTATATCGTGTATATAAATATTTTTTGTAATTATGCTATAACAATGAATCTACCTACTTAATGATAATTTATGGACTATTTAATGTATACTAACAATCTTTTTGCTTGTATTTTTCAAAATTATAGGTGGTAAACCATTAATTGAAATATTTTACTATGTTTTATAATAGTAAAATGTTAAGTTTTTATTTACTTTAAATTTTTTTTTTATGTTCATAGCACTTTTTAATCATTGATTTTATGTTAGGTATTAAAAAAAGTGAATACCATCTTTTGTTTTTAAAAACAAACAAAAATCACAAAAATGATTGAATATAATGATTATGGTATAAATATTAATTAGAATTGGAAGATAATATGAAATATATAGAACAACTTTAATGAAAAAAATCTTAATACTCATAAACTTTGTTTATTTGATCAAATATACTTGCAAAAATAATGCAAAGGATATTAATTGCGAAAATAAAAATAATTTATTTATATATATATATTAATTATATATTATTAATTTGAAATAGTGAAAAACGCTTTTCATAATAGTTACACTCTTAAGTCTAAATGGTGTATTTAAGTTGGTTCACTGATAGAGTAAAACAGTTGCAAAAATTGAAAATATTACCTTATAAATAAAGTAATTATTTCAACGAAAATCCACCCCGTATTATGTCAATATTTTTAACGGTTAATATATTTCCCCTGGTTCCTGTTGACTACATTAGTGGAGTGTACTGTTAATAAATATAACTTATTTCATTTAAAATTATTATAACTATAAGTAATAGTATACGTATGTATGTATTTGTGTTAGGTATTGTAATGGCCAACATGAAAACTTTAACGACAATATAACTATTATAATACTCGCTACAGTAACTATAAATGTTTCGTGTGATGTATATTGTATATACGTGTTATAAAGTTTTAGGAAATTAGAAGTTTTAATAAATACAATGTTTTATATGAAATTTTGTTTTATAACAATACAACGATATATAATGTAGGTGTCAAATGTTTTCACATGGAGTACAAATTTTTTTTTAAAGAAGGTGTACAGTGTGTAATGTAATATAGCAAAAAGTATTTTCAAATAATAATTCGACTGAAAGTTGATGAAACGTTAAATGACAGAAAACCTATCAAGTAAAAACAAGAATATACATCCGTAATACAATAGTCAATTTCGCAATAATAAGTGTTTTATTACTTCGACTTTGTATAAGTACATTATTTTATTCATTATACTATACATACGTATTGAACTTTAGAGATAAAAGATGCGGCGTACATTTGAAGACTCGTCATATTTTACCCTTGCGTATTTTAATATTCGAATCTATAACATACCAAGCAAACAATTATAACCGGTACCTACGTTTAAACATTTCTTTTTCCTCCAGAAATAATAATGTAGTCAGCTACGTGTATACAACAAAAATATATTAGTACCGTAGATCTCGTAGTGTATAGTTCATTTGAGTACAGCGTTAACGCTCGTCTTAACTTTATCGGTTAAAATTTTTTTTAATGCCATGTTACCTACATATATAGTCGATGTATTATCTATTATTACCCCCTTCCTAGAGGTATTCCAAAAAATACGATTTACGTAACGTTCCAAGGTTGCATGCGCTACGTATTGTTATTATTATCATGTGCACGACGCACGTATCATCGCATCGTAGGGCTATTATGGCGCCTTGTGGGCGCCTTAAGTACAAGACCAAGACGACGCCGTTGCCGTCGCCGCCACCACCGCCGCCGCCGCCGCCGCCACCGCCGCCACCAACACCATCATCGACGGCCGAGTCGTATAATAAAAATAAAAATTCTCACAGGCGCGCGCGCCGACCAACAACGATTGTAGTAGTAATAATTCGTGTGCATACCGCGCGGTAATGCGCGTAATGGAGATGACAATAAGAAAATAGTGGACCGCGTTGCACGCGCGCACAGATATGAACTTAAAATAATTCGATAAAAAACGAAAAATGACGTGTTCGCCGAACGTGTTACGCGTTGAAACTTGTCGTAGACGAACCGCGGACCCGAACAAACACGTCTCCGGACGGTGGTCGGAGACGTGACCGCTGGTCCTCACTGTTACGAGCGTGCGTTTGTCCGAGATCGCAGCTTCGGTCAGTTCGTCTCGGACAGTTTTCATCGCGTATTCGTGTGCATACGTAATAATATAACGTGACGGGTACTCACTGTTGTCGTCCGAAGTGTGGTAGTACGGAGGCATTGTTGAACCCGTCGTGATGATCGCGGCTGTTGCGAACAGATTACACTCGTAACCGCAGCGCTGCGCAAATATTTGCAGTGCGGCGTAACGATATGCGCGTATCTCGTCGTAAACGTGTGCGGAGCAACGGAAGTGATGTGTAGAGCTATGTGTGCGAGAGTGTGACTTGTATCCCGCGACGGACCTTGCGACCGACTGAACACCACTCGCGCCCGGACCGGGTCCACCGCACGTTTTGAACCGCAGTACAATATTATTATTGTTATTACTATTACTATTATTATTATTATTATTATTATTATTATTATTACTATTATTATTATATTCTTCGGTATTTGTGATCCCTTCTTCTTTATGCTTCCTCGGCGTATCGTTTCTCTATCTCTCTCTCTCTTTCTCTCTCTCTCTCTGCGTGTTCATTCTTGTCCGTCTTTTTCGGTTGTATTCTCGCGGTTGCCGTCATCGTCCGCGCGTGATACACCGTGCGGCAGTCGCACGTATCCCGTGTGTCCTGCAGACTGGCGCCAAAAACGGGTAAGAACCGTCTGCCCGTGAATCAGGTAGATAAAATACGCGACACGAATTTCGGTGCCGGGCCCGGTCGGAGACATAAAAATCGACGACGTGTGACAAGATCGAGGCGCCGCGACCGACGCACACAGCGCCACCAATATACGTCGCCGCGTCACCGCAACCACCGCCCGACCGAAGGATACCTATATTATATCGTGTAGGTAAGCGTACCTAAACGTGACGCGGACAATCGAAACTTCCGGCAATAAAAACACCTGGTCACAACCCTTTTCCTTTTTATTCTTGACATTATATTATTATACACACGCGCGACTCCGTTTTCTTTTCGGCTTCTAGTCCTCACATATCACCGCCACCATACGCACATACAGAGCTATATTAATAATATAATTATTACATGCACGGTGTGTGTGTGTGTGTATAATAAAGGTCCTACGTTTCTTATGTAGTACATTTATATATGTAATGCATTTTATTATACATATTATTATACCACGACCGTAGACTTCCTATATACCTGTGTACAATGTACTACACGGACACGTTTTGAGACGCGCACGAGTCTACTGTCAGAAACACAGATCATGATGTTGTTATAAATCTACGATTCGTTTTTTTTTTTTTTGTCCGTCAACAAAATTTGTCGGAAATTGGATGTTGTATTATTAAGAATATTATATGTTTATGTGCATTGTAAATAGCCAACAGGTATCTTATATAAGTTTGTAAATTTTATATATCTTATACGCCTAATATATTATATTATAATGTGACACAACGAAGACCACCTGAGAAGAAATCGAAAGGTGAAATTTGACGGAATAACAATACAGTTGAGGATCGAAAAGAATAATCAATAATTGGTCACTTTTTAGACATTTTTTAGATACCTTTTTTTAAAAATTGTTCTTTTTTTCCTTGTATTACTTCGATTTCCATGCCCATTGAAATTATTTGAAATATCTTATAATTAATGATTGATCCGGTACTGGTTATTAATATATAATATTATTAATATTATTATTAATTTAATATAAATTAATATAATAATAATATAGATTTTTTTTTTTTTTATTTAGCTTTTAGTATTAACTATTACAGCTCAACAATTATATTATCTACAACGTAATTAAATTAAATTAACAATAAGATATTGTATCATAATATTGAATAGGTATACAGAATAGAAAAAAAAAAAAAAAACCAAAAATATAATAATATTAATAAGGTTAATATAAAGATAAGGGCGTATAGATTACATAAATAGGTTGAATGCAATTGTTGGTAATTGGTTGTGATAATTTATGGGGAATTCGTTGTGAGTTTGTTTATTAGGACGGTGAGAAGGGAAAGTAGAGGGTTTAATAAGATTTTTATTTCAATCAGAAATGTAGATATAGTATCAGAAGTAGTGTGTTTTGGTTGCTCTGAAGATATGTTGGCATACGTTGGACCCACTTTGGTGTTGTTGCCATGATGACGAGTACGAGCTTCTTGCCTTTGAGTATCTGGCATTTTTGTTTTTTTTTTTTATTTGATAGTACCAATTTCTTGCGAATTGGGCATCCTTTGTATGAGGCTGTGTGATCACTAGAACACAGAGCGCATTTAGCCGGGAGTGACCGGTCTTTGATACAGTTCGCAGTAAGATGGTCATCACCACATTTGACGCACCTAGGGGAGTGACAACAGTAATTGCGGGTATGACCATATGCTTGACATTTAAAACACTGAGGTGGGTCATTAATTTTAGAATGTGGTTTTTCGATGACTACAATGGAATGGAGCAATGTTGATATGTTGAAGATAGTGTGGTTATTATTCTTAAGTGCCAATTCGACATGGAAAAGAGGTAATGGACGTTGATTCTTTCTTATATTCACCACGCGTACCACAGAGTGTCCATGCTCCGCCAGGGCATCGGAGATATCGGATAGAATAGTGGTATGATGTAAATTGCGAATTACAACCTTAAAGTGACGCATGTAATGGGGACGGAAGGTATGAAATTCCGCGCTAGTGCTTATTAGATACTTCGAAATGGTGGCGAAGGCAGGGTGACTGTTGGCCCTAATTATTAAATAAGATGGTGTGGACTTACAAGAAAAATCATTAATACCCGTGAGGTGTATTAATTTTTTATGAAACTCAGAAAAGTTTCTGATGTTCTTTACGTAAATCGCCGGCATATGAATGGACTTCAGTACGTTTTGACTTGGTGGTAGTTGCTCGCGCTCTGTAGCATTAGAGTTAGACATAAATACGTCCGATACCAGCTCATCATTGGCCGTTGACAAAACAGCGAATCGATTTGGCGAGGTGAAAGATTTGGTTTTTTTCTCATGCTTGGGAGAGCTGGAGTGCGAAGACAAGTGTCGTTTAGAATTCGTTGCCGGTGATGATTGAAGCAATGCCATACTAATATATGTGAAACGGTTCGCTCCGTTACAAACCCATTAAATATGTGTTGCGTAATAACGATCGGATTACTGTCATTAAACGTTGCCAATACGGACTACGGAGCGCGATAAGCACGTGCTCCCGCGATGATGGACGAAATAATATAGATATTTAGTTATCCTTATATATATAAAATAACAGGCCTTTTTTTATGTTCCCATTTTGTGACAACACTATTTAATATTTTTCCATTTTTTTTTTTCACAAAGTTATTCCAAATACCTTCCTGAATGTCACCACGTCACCTGATTTTTAATTTTTTTTTGTCTGTGGGGAGGGGGAATTTTATTTTTATCCTTATTTTTATAAAACAAACTGATCATTTTATGTCTTTTCATAAAATGTCACTGACAGTAGGATTTTCAGTCGTATCGTATGTATTTTGAATTCTCTAAGGTTATGTTATAAATCTAGACACCGGGTCACTTCTTTTATAAAAAATTTAATTAATTAATAATTTAAGCTAAAATTTTGGTTGGTTGTGCTAAGGGAGAAAAAAATATTTTTACTGAAATCACCATAATACTGAAGAGTTCAGTTTCCAATAAAAGTTTGTTTTACTATGACAATAAACAAAGTACAAGCATAGACTTTAATTTATTGTGATGTATCTATGGAAAACAGCTGTTCCTTACATGAACAATTGTAGCATTTTCTAGAGTTGAAATACCAGACCATTTATACATTTTATACACCACAAAATAAAACCCTGAATGTGGTATACCAAGACGTTTTGACTTAAGTAATTAGAAAAATGAGTAATTCGGTATAGAATCATTTGTAAATATTCATGAATTAAGTTAAGTTATACAAAACATAATTATAACTATAAAATCATTAGAATCATTTGTAAATATTATTATTATTTTTTATTCGCAATTCAGCTACTACTACTATTTAGCAAATTAACTAAATTAAAACAATTGTTTGCGCCGAAGTAGTCCCTACAATGGTGGCGGATGACCAGTCCGACTCGCGGCCTGGTTTTTGGGAGAATGACGGTGACCTTCGTATTTATAATATTTACGTACACGAAAGAATAAAAGAACACGTATTGAAATTATAATGCGAGCCAACAGCGTCACGTACTATTAAAATACACAATATTAAAATAAAAGTGTATATGGACGGGCGCCCATAAGAGGGGGGTAAATAATAATATACTCACAAATATAATAAGTGAAAATAATAATAATAAATCATGTAACAACAACTGATAATAATAATAATAATATTATATAATAATAATTGATAATCATATCACCGGACGCCACAGTGCTGCCAGCAAATGCACGCCAAACTGCTTCGAAGAGTGAACGACGCAACAGTGATGAATGTGATCGATGTTGGAAATCCCCAATCGAAAATAAAAACGGCGGAGATATCGGTGATCGCGGGATCGGCACGTGAGCACGACGGCTCCGCGGAAAGACGGCGGTGGCAAAAGTATCGCACAAAGACACAATATACACGCCCGACAGCAGCAAAAGAAACAACGCGACGTAACGGCACAAATCGACGACGATATCGGTGATCGCGGGATCGGCACGTGAGCACGACGGCTCCGCGGAAAGATGGCGGAGGCAAAAGTATCGTACAAAGAAAATGTTGAGAGAGGAACACGAATCGCCCTTGATGACACAACGCGTGAATAACGCACTCGCGAACCTTTAACCACGCGGTATGGTTGTGTAGCGTTCGAGGCGAACGCGAAAAAATGGCGACGACCACACGTTGCAATGGCTAACGAAAAGACAGTGACGAAGAGCAAGAAAAAAAAAACGTTTCGTACACGGCGGCTGTAACGGTCGGCGTGAAAAAGCGATAAGCGGACATGGCGAACGGGGTACGCGGGGCGCGTTCCAGTTTTTTTTTGTGCAACGGGCGGCGACGGCAGGTATCGAAGCTCACTGAACCAGTACCGCGGTGTAATCGCAAAGTGGTCACTGGCCATTTGCAATTTCGGCGCGAAAATGATGTAGGGCGCGAACAACAATTAAGAATTTAATTTAGAAAAAGCAAAAACTACACTCCAGTGAAGCTGGGTAATTTACCTAGTAAACCTATATAAATATGAATGAAAATAATCAAATGTCATTGTCAAATGAAAATATCAATGAAACTTTTAAATGCCAGACGCTATAGGTTACTGCAATTTTGTCCGCTATTTAAAGGGAAACATTTTTATTTTCTTAAATGAGAATTATAAATTAAATTAAAATAATTTAATTTTTAAATTAATTAAATACAAGAAAAG